CATTGCTCCCCAGATGACAGCCACTCCCCCTGATCATCCATTTCTTCAAGTAGGTTCAGCCTTCTCAGCAAATCCAAGGAGAAAAATGGAAAAACCATAAAGGAGAGCTATCAAAAAGAGAGAGGGGAAAAACTGTAGGGAAATAAAGAGCCAAAGTACCAGATAGTTCTTGGTAGAAATCCCTCTCTAACTGCCTATGCAGACCCGTACCTCCATCAGCAGAGACAGGGAGCAGTCCACACAGCAGTCCAGTTCACCACAGTTACAGAGAACCAGGAAGGTGTTACAGCTGTTCTTTAAATGGTGTATCTGATTGAGTCAATGAAAAACTATCACAGAGTATCTGTTTGCAATGCCAGTAAAAGGTTCTTAATGTAATTTGACAGTTTTCACCAAACGTTCCAGTAATTTAAGACTTTCAGTGCTTGGAATCAGGCCAGAGGAGGTGCCTGTTATTTGATAATAAAAGAGGCTCTGGCTTCGGGCAGTGGTAAGAGTTAGAAAAACTGATGAGAGGAGTTGGGCTGCCTCCTAAGACTGCCTAAGGAAATAAACAGTTTTATGCAATTCAATCCCTTACAGAAAGGTCAATTCTTAGTTCCCATGCAGAAATGAGTCCTTCCCCTAAAGCAGAGAAAAGCCTGAAGGCTAGAGAGCCAATTTAAGAAATATTCATTACCAGATTAAAAAATTATATTTGGGGGCTGGAGAGATGGCTCAGCAGTTAAGAACACTGGTTGTTCTTGCAGAAGACCCGGGTTCGAGCCCCAGCACCCACATGGCAGCTAACAGCTGTTTGTAACTCCAGTTCCAGGGGATCCGACAGCCTCTTCTGTTCTCTGTGGGCATTGCATGACACAAGTGCGCTTACCTACATGCAGGCAATACACGCATACCCATAAAAAATAAAAATAATAAATTTAAAAAAAATTTTTTTAATTATATTTGGGACTAGAAAGGTGGCTCAGAGGCTAAGAGCACTGGTTGCTCTTGCAGGGGGCCTGGGTTCAGTTCCCAGCACTCACATGGTGATTAAAACCACCTATAACTCTAGTTCCAGGGGCTCTGACACCTTCTTCTGGGCTCTACTGTCATTGCATGCAGGTGGTACATTTACATACATGCAGGCAAAACATTAATACACATAAAATAAATTAATTAAATTAATTGAATTATTTTATTAATTACACATAATAAAAATAAATTAAAATTTCAATTCCTTCTCCTTCAAATACATAACAATACTCTTTAAAATCTGTTCTATAATGTCACCCTATAAATATTGTAACAAAATACCATTTTCTATTAAATGGATACTTTACTCATAATAAAGATTCTGGGGGGCAAATAAGATGGCTCAGCAGGTAAGGGTGCTAGCTGCCAAGTCTAGCGACCTGACTTCAATCCCCAGAGGTCACATGGTAGAAGGAGAGAACAGACTCCCAGAAGCTTTCCTCTGACTTCCTCGTGTACGCCATGGCAAAGCACTTGCCATCACGCACACACACAAACACACACACACACACAAATGTGATAAAAGAAAATTTTAATTTTGTCACATTTGTTCAACATACTTTTAGAAATGAAACTACCAAGGACTGAAAACATACCCATAATCTGCTGTAATAAACTGCACAGAAACTCACTAGCAAGGCACAGAGAGTCATGAGGTGACAAAAACCTTCAAAGATCTCCTGCATGGTCACTGGAGAACTCTGAAGGAACCTGGGAAGCGAGGACCCAAACCTCAGTTTGGAGGGAGTTTGTTCTTCACCAGTTTTGATTTGGAAGATATTGCAGATGTGACTGTGTGCCAGGCACTGTGCTGAGCTCAGGGAACTAGGACTGTAGTCCACTGACCTGCAAGTAGGTTGTGTTTGGGCTATATGAATTTTTCCTGAAGCAACACTTAAAAGTCAGGAAAATTCACATGAACATGCAGGTATCTGACTTGTCTTAAAAAACTGAAAGAGGAGAATGTACTACTTCCATTTTCCTAAATTAATATAGCCTCCAACTATGTTCTAAATCCTCCTACCCATAGACAGGCACAGCTCTCACTTTGTATCAAAGAAGCTTCTTTTTGTAGCAGTTAGAGGCTACCATAAAGATCTACAACCAGTCAAAATGCATAGAATAAGTGACCATTGGGAGCCAAGCCCCAACTGGGATATCTACAGCACAACCCCTACACCTAAAGCTCAGGAAACATCCTGGAAGAAGGGGCAGAAAGATGTAAGAGCCAGAGAACCAGGACACCTGCTGCTGGTTAGCGTCTTCTAGACATGACAGGGGTGCTGTGCCCATGAACTCTCAACAATATGGTTGCTTGCACAAGACCTGCATAATGACCACACCAGTCAATGTGCCAGCATGGATGGGGGAAATTTTAACAAAGCTCCACATCTAGATGAAGAGCTATAGGGAGCAAATGGCTGCTGAGGAAAGGAAAATCCAATTTTTGCAGCGATGAGTCCCTGATAGGTTTCCCAGTCTTAAGTGGTCAACCCTAAACATGTAACAAGCTCTGTGTGTGTGTGTGTGTGTGTGTGTGTGTGTGTGTGTGTGTGTGTGTAGCAATAATTATAGAAGAGGAGGTCATGAATTCAAGAGGCAGTAGTAGAGAGGAACACAGGAGGGGTTGGAGGGGTAAGGGGGTGGAAATGATACAAACATAGTATACTTCTGTATGAAATTCTCAAAAAAAAGCAAAATAAATGAAAAGTTGAAAGATCTAGCAACATGGATCCTGCCTTCCTTCACTACCAACTTCAACTGGAACAGAGAAGCAGCGGACCACTACAGCATCAGGGCACGCTCTCCAACTTGCCACATCCCACCATCCCCTGCTGTCACCCCAGCAATGCATTCTGGGTGTCACTCTTTGATGCTTCCTGCTTGGCTCAAGAAACACTTGAGTTTGTTATTCCTGCTCTCAACAACAACAATAAAGTTCTTATAAAAACTACTCTTGTGTTTAAGAAGCCAAATCACACAAGTGTTATAGGAACCCACAGTGCAATAGAAACCCCAAGGCTGTGACTAACTCCAGGGTGGTGATAGACAGGGGTGTTGAGGGCAGGTTCACAGGACAGAGGACATTCAGCGAGGACTTTGAAAAATGAGAAGAGGCTGGTCACACAGAAAGTAGTAGACAGGGGGCTGGAGAGATGGCTCAGTGGTTAAGAGCACTGACTGCTCTTGCAGAGGACCCGGGTTCAATTCCCAGCACCCACATGGCGGCTATGAACCGTCCTTAACTCCAGTTCCAGGGGAATCCGAAGCCCTCTTCTGACCTCTGCGGCATTGCACATGGGTGCACTCACATACATGCAGGCGATACACTCATACACATAAAATTAAAAAAATAAATTAAAATTAAGAAAAGCCAATGGGAAATTATTGTTTCCTAAGAAAAATCCTGGCGCGGTATAGGATATGGCATGAGGCAAACAGCTCAGGCTGCTCCACACAGGGTACAGAGGAGCCCCTTTGCATCAGCCTCCTACATTCTCTGCAAGGGATGACAAGCCTCAACTAACTCACCTTTTCTTTCTCCCACTGATATGAACGCACCTAGTCATCCTTCTTGAATTAAAAAAGAAAATACCATGAACTATCCTCCAGCACAGACTTTACAAAGGGTTACAGGACAATAGCCCAAGTCTACATGGTGACCCCAATTCCATACAACAAAGATACCTTCTTCCTCTTACTATGTTTCCCCTCTCCACTTGCATATCTGTGCCAGAATACCTAGAAGCTTCTAATTAAATATCTTCCATTCTACATGTGGCACAAGTTTGATTCCTTTTAGTCAAACAACTACAAATATAAGCCAAAACACTGTTCCCTAAAACCGCTAAGTGAGCCTCCCACAATGTTCGATGTTAATTTGTGCTTTGATGCAAGGACTAAGGGTGATAAAGAAGTGGCATGTTCTCCTGACTCAGCCTACTGGGCTATGTGGGCTGCACCCAGTGAGGCAAGGGCAGTGAAGGTCAACAGCAAGGAAACCACAAAGCTGTTGCACACAAATGAAACACAACATTAGAAGCAGACACATCCCTCGATGTGAGGACGTTAAATCAGTCTACTCATTCCTCTCATTAAATCAAATCTAAAAACAAATCTAAAAGCAAACCAACAAGAGACTTTTATAACCCAAACTGACAGTTTTCCAGACTTCCTGTTCTAATAACAAACCTATCTTTCACTCATCATTAGCAATTATCATGACAAAACTGCAAATCAGTGAACCACCATGGGACTTAGGGGAGGGGCCCCACCAGCCCTGAGCCGCCACATTGCAGAATAAACAGTATCAAGAGTTCTTTCTTTCACGTTTACCCTAGATATTTCAGAGACTAAAGCTTTTACACTCTGGAATTCTCCTCTCTCCCTAAAGATGGCATGATATTTCAAAGCGATTTCCCTTCAAAATATTATTTTTCACTTCTTCAACAGTCAACCTGCACCTTGCAACAAAGGATGTCAACATAATTTAGAATCCATTTATAAGAGCCAAGAATTTAATTAAGAGAAAAATTATCTTGGAATGGTTTGGGCAATTCGGCCAATTAACCCTCTCACAATTCTGCTAAGAACAGAACGCAAGCTGTCTAACGGAAAGCTAAATAAAGCAGTTGGAACATGGATGAAGGAGTCCAGAAATCTGGGTGCTGAGTGTGATTCTATCATGAGCAAAGTCACACAATGCCCTGGGCTTTGGGCCGTGAGGACTGCCCAGGAGGGTACCCCTCTCCGCTCCACAAAGCCTGCAGAACTCAAGTCCATTCAGGCCTTCACTCTCACCTCTAGCAAAAACTATTCAGTGAGTGTCAAGTTCATAGACTCAAATGGCAGAAGCAAAACCATCAAGTCATCCTTGTTAACAAGCTCTAGTTCACATCTGATAAAGCCAAGTGGCTTTGGTGGAGGAGAATGAACACAGCCTCTTGTCTGGTCCCATCCAGATGCCTGGGGTGTGGTAGACTCACCTTGGTTGCCTCTTCCACACTCTCCCGGAGGGCCTGCAGCTCAGCATCATATTGCTCCTTCAGCTTGTCCATCTCCTGGTCATGGCTAGAAACCTCCTCCTTCAGGGCACCCTTCAAGGCGGTCAGTTCCCGTTCCCGCTTTCTCAAGAGATCCTCCTGCTCCTCTCTGGTGATGAGTAGATCTTGAAGGTCCTGTTTGGCCTGCAGCAGCTCCTACAGAGGAAACAAGAAGTGCAGAGCTGAGGAGCAGACATCTTGTCAGTGGCCCTGCATCGTCCCTCCAGGTCGGCCACCAGGGGCATGGCTGCCTCACCTGCTCTGCCCATTCTCGTCTTCCCACACCACACACCTTTTGAGACTCCCTGCACTTCTGAGACAATTATTTCCTTGGATCTTTCTGTCTTAATTTCTTTCATATTTAATTTAACTGAGTTCACTGTCACTGCTTTGAGAAGATATGAAATGTTTTGTGGAGGTTTTGGTTTGTTTTGTTTCTTTTGTTTTGAGACAGGGTCTCTAGCCCAGGATGGCCTCAAACTTGCTATATAGCTGAGGATGATCTTCTTCCTCTACCTTTCCAGTGCTGAGATTACAGGTATGTACCATCACACTTGGTTTATGTAGAGCTGGGAATCGAACCCAGGGCCTCAAACATGCTAGGCAAGCACTCTATTGACTGAACAAACCCCTAGCATGACATGTCGGCTTCTGCATATCATTTCCCTTCTGTGCATATGGTACACGAGCCCTGCTGTGGCCCTTGGTGTGCTGTTGTTGCCCCAGAGCTGTGCTGGCTCGCTGCCCTCACCTGCTTCCCACCTGGTCCGACCCTATTCACATTCTTGGTATCTATGACAACTTTTTCCATTTTATTGACCTATTTGATTAGAGCACAGCATTCACATTTTCTCATTGCCAAGAGTTCCCAAGGAAAATCACAAACCTGGGGCCAAAGGTTCCATTTCAAATCACATCACCCAAGCCTAAGTATGTGTTATCAAACACAAGTAGGCCCTGCCAAAGTCTTGGCCTTCCTTTTACTTCAGCATCTTTATCATGGTACCCAGGGTTCATGCTGCTGGGGGACAACATTATTCTTCACATGAATACCCTAGCTTCCCAATCTCAGCTCCTCTCTGTGTGGCAGGCCTCACTCTACCCAAAGCACCCCACAGAGAAGCACTGCCAGCCTGCCCCAGGCTTTCAGTCATGGGTTCTTTCTCATTTCCTTGAATCTTGGCTACCTGCAACCTTTACCACCAAACCTCACCAAAGCCCAGTCTCGTTCACCACCTCTCTCTTTAGTCTCCTGCTATGTGGCTTTTGTGGCTACCCTGTCACACCAAGATGAGATCACAGTAGCCGTCTGTTCTAGTTTCGTGTCTGTTACTGTGATAAAACAACCTGACTTAGGAGCAACTTAGGAGGTAGAAGGGTTTCTTGGCTTAAAATTTCAGGTTATAGTCCATCATCAAGGGGAAGTCAAGGCAGGAAGTCAAGCAACTAGTCACATAGTGTTCACAAATGAGAGCAGAGAGAACGAACGCCCCATGCTGCCTGCTTGCTTGCTCAACCAGCTTTCTTCACTCCTACACAGTTCAGGGCCCAGCGCATGAAACAGTGCTGCCCACATCCACGGTGGGTCCTCCCACCTCAACTGACAATTTTAAAACTCCCCTAAGAGACATACATGCCCACAGGCCAAACTGGTTCTAGACAGTTCACCAATTAAGACTCTTCCAGGTGATGCTAGGTTGTGTCGAGTTGACAGTTAACCCTAACCAGCTCACTACCTACTCACCATACCAGAGGCCTCTCCCTAGTCCAATTTCCTGGAAGCCTTCTGCATCTTATTTGCTGGTCTCCTTAAGAGGCACCTCTCCTTTGAGGTCACAGAACAGCGCGTTTCTTCCCTTAGGCCACTTTCCCTGCCAGGATCTTTTCTGGCTTTTCTCCCTTCTAAGCAAAGCTATCCCCAAGAATGCAATTTTGCATTCTTTATTTTCTTTGGCAAGCTCTTTGACTTTTGTTCCCCAGCTATCAATTCTACAAAAAAAAAAAAAAAAAAAAAAAAAAAAACATGCCTCTGACCTCTTACCACCAACACTTAGCACCCCAGCTCACCTGCAAGCCACACACTTCAAACAGTCCACATGCACCTCAGATTAAATATGATCACAGTTTCAGATGGGTCTGCCATGTTCCTTCCCACTCCCTCTTCTCCACCTGTTTCCTAAGCACCCACATGCAGAAGCAGAGCAGCAACTGTGACTTTTCTCTTATCCCTGTCCTAGTTCTTACCTTTTAAAAAATATTTTATTATTTTTATTTTAGGTGTATGAGTGTATGGCCTGCATGTATGTGAGTGCACCTGTGTCATGCAATGCTGTGGAGGTCAGAAGAGGGCTTCAGATTCCCCTGGAACTGGAGTTAAGGATGGTTCATAGCCGCCATGTGGGTGCTGAGACTCAAACCCAGGTCCTTTACAAGAGCAGTCAGTGCTCTTAACCACTGAGCCATCTCCCCAGCCCCCCCCAAATCCCAGTTCTATAACATCTCAGATCTTTCCTCTCCCTTCTCCAGGTTAGTCCCTCATCCCCTTTGCTGTAGGTATCCCCACCTGTCCCCATGTCCAGTCTCTCACTACAGCAGCCCCTGGGGTGCAGCCTCTGGGGTGTAGCCTCTAGGGTGCAGCCTCTGGGGTGCCCTCTTTCCCTCTCAGCACCACTCTCTCTGCCTTTTGGAAACTCTCTGAAGACTCAGATACACTATGACCTCCTGAAAAATCGCCCTAGAATTCCCCTCGGGAACAGGCCCTCACTTCCACCCTTCCTCTGGCACCCTGCAGGCTACGGATTGTGATTTTTCTTTGCTGTTTTGTTTGTTTCAGACAATGTCTCTTGCATTGCAGGCTGGCCTCAAACTCTCTATATAGTATGACTTTGAACGTCTGGTCCTCCTGTCTTCACCTCCCTAGTGCTAAGATTGCAGGCATGCACCACCATGCCCAGCACTGGACATAGAACCAGGGCTTCTTGCATGGTAGAGGAGGCTAGGTACTCTACCAACTGAGCTGCACCCCCAGCCTGTGATTATTATTCTTGTCACCTCTACTAGGCTGTCATCGTCTAGAAAGGAGGACACCAATCTGATCTATTGTATCTTCAACATGAGGACCAAGAACACAAGCAGCTCTTGTCTGTTCTAGGTATGAATACATCAGCCTGCACAGAGCAGCAGGCGTCTCAAGGGGTCAGAGCTCTACCAGTTCCTTCCTTCACTCATGGCCTTTTAAAAATATTGCATTTGTTTTTATTTTATGTGTTTTGCTGACACATGTGCATGTTAAGTGTGCCACTTGCACGCAGTACCTGTGGAGGCCAGAAGGAGGATTTGGATCCCATGGAACTGGAGTGACAGGAAGTTGTTAGCCACCATGTGGGTGCTGGGAACTAAACCTGGGTCCTCTGCAAGAGCAGCCAGTGCTCTTAACGGAAGCATTTCTCCTGCCCCTCACTTGTGGCTTTTGACCACAGCAGGCCATGTTCTGCTTTCCTGGAACTCCTGGGCACTCAAAGCAATGATTTCCATGGGGCCCCAAGGCCTCTGAGAGGACAAGCCATCTTTCATTTGAGAGGTGTGTTGCTGCTAAGGAAGAGAAACCTTCAAATCAATTTTTAATTAATATTTTTAATGTTTATTTATTATTGTTTGCATACTAAGAAGCATGTGAGTGTCATGGTGCACATGTGGAGATGAAAGGACAACTTTGTAAAATAAGTTCCCTCCTGGATCAAATTCAGATCACCAGACTTTCATGGCACCTAAACCTAAACCAGCCAGATTCTCACCGGCAGGAACTGGTGAGCCCAACAAAGCCTTGACACCTAGTGAGGGCCACTCTGGTTTGTCCAAAGCAAAACCCCTGAGAATTCCATGTACTGACTGACTTTAGTCAAAGGGACCACCAGGCTATCCCCGCACAGCTCCTCCTAAAGAGGAGCAGAGCCAGCTCATTACTGTTGCCATTGGCCGCTCTTCCAGGACTTCCTGGAGCCTGGAGCCTCCTGCCCACAACTTCAGAGCAGCCCTTTTCTGCTTTCACTAACACGTTTCTCAATTGTTCTGGCGATAAGGCAGTTCCTCTTCCCACACCTATCTCCTGCTGGGTATATCTGTGTCTTGTATTATTATTTGTGTGCTGCCGCCAAGGCATGTCAAGAACCGAGAGATTTACACTGGTCCATTCTACACCGACAGGCTGTTATCTGCGACTGGGGCTGTCGCTAAGTGGACCGTGCTGCAGGAATCCAATCAGATTACACCTTTGCATATCACACAGTAGTGCTCAAAGGTTTCCTGAATGGAGACCAACGGGCACATACGGTTTCAAAACCTTCAATTTATTGCCTCAAATCAAAGAAGAGAGAGGAAAATTGGAACGCTTCAAAATATAAATAAATCATCCCTTCTCTGGAGACTCCAATCAAAGAAAACAAGGGAAAATCTGAATACTTGGAATTGTTGTTTTCCAAACCTTTATTTGTTGAGAATTGCTCCATATGTGACAAGGAGCCAGCAGATTAACATCTAGTGAGGGACCAGCAAGACAGCTCAGTGGGTAAAGGTGCTCGCCACCAAGCCTGATGACCTGAGGCCAATCCTCAGGACCCACATGATGGAAGAGAACTGACTCCTGCAAGTTGTGCTCTGACAATGTGTGCAGTGGTACATTGACACCCACATCACACACACTGCATAAATAATAAATAAATGCAATAAAAAATTAAAACAAAACATAAAAACCTAGTGTACATAGATGGTTGGGGGGCGAAGGGGAAGGCCTAGAAAGGTTGACTGTGTTTGGCACTTACTGCATAAGAATAGTGTTAAGTGTTTCCAGAAATACAAACAAATGAATATTCAAAGAGATGAAGATTATTCTCATTCATAAATGATAAATGCTGGTGCTCTGAGATGCTAACACACCGCTAAAATCATTCAGCTGGGGCTGGGGAGATGGCCCAGTCCATAAAGTGCCTGCCTTGTATTGGAACCTCAATCCAATTCCCAGAACCCAAATAAAAAACAAACAAACAAACAAGCCAGGTGTTTTCAATCTCAGTGCTGTGGAGGCAGAGGGAGACAGTAGGATCCTTGGAAAGTTCCAGGTTTCTCTCAAAAATCAAGGTGGGGCCAGCACTTGAGGAACA